ATATCATCCACACAATGCAAAGAACGCAAGTAGGTGTTAGGAGCGGTGCAATGGGGTTTGCATGGTAAAATGCGATCATGAGAGCTCCTATGCACTCCTGCCATATCATCCACACAATGCAAAGAACGCAAGTAGGTGTTAGGAGCGGTGCAATGGGGTTTGCATGGTAAAATGCGATCATGAGAGCTCCTATGCACTCCTGCCATATCATCCACACAATGCAAAGAACGCAAGTAGGTGTTAGGAGCGGTGCAATGGGGTTTGCATGGTAAAATGCGATCATGAGAGCTCCTATGCACTCCTGCCATATCATCCACACAATGCAAAGAACGCAAGTAGGTGTTAGGAGCGGTGCAATGGGGTTTGCATGGTAAAATGCGATCATGAGAGCTCCTATGCACTCCTGCCATATCATCCACACAATGCAAAGAACGCAAGTAGGTGTTAGGAGCGGTGCAATGGGGTTTGCATGGTAAAATGCGATCATGAGAGCTCCTATGCACTCCTGCCATATCATCCACACAATGCAAAGAACGCAAGTAGGTGTTAGGAGCGGTGCAATGGGGTTTGCATGGTAAAATGCGATCATGAGAGCTCCTATGCACTCCTGCCATATCATCCACACAATGCAAAGAACGCAAGTAGGTGTTAGGAGCGGTGCAATGGGGTTTGCATGGTAAAATGCGAGCATGAGAGCTCCTATGCACTCCTGCCATATCATCCACACAATGCAAAGAACGCAAGTAGGTGTTAGGAGCGGTGCAATGGGGTTTGCATGGTAGAATGCGATCATGAGAGCTCCTATGCACTCCTGCCATATCATCCACACAATGCAAAGAACGCAAGTAGGTGTTAGGAGCGGTGCAATGGGGTTTGCATGGTAAAATGCGATCATGAGAGCTCCTATGCTTTCTAGTAGGATCCTTTTTCTCATCGGCAACAGTCTGTGGCATTTTCTTTATCAGTACGCTGTTCCGACCCGTGGATGCTGTGGGGTCTGCAGTAGTGGTTAAATAAATAAAAGGAGCAAGTTTGTGATTACCGCGCTGAACATCAACGGTTTAGGCGGTGTGGAGAAGAGGAACACGCATCAGAAATGGATTAAGTCAGCGGCAAACATACTGGTACTAACAGACACTAGAGTCGCAGCGGATCACAACTTCAGGACCCAACTGATTCCAACGGCCTTCGCAGCAGTCTCACTAGATGGAGGTGCGGGGGGAGTGGCGGTCCTTAGCTTCACGGCAGGAATGGTTTTCAAAGATATCTACATGAATGAATCAGGAAGACTGGTTGTGGTGACAGTAGAGAGAGATGACCTGACATGGCGGGTACTGGCAGTGTACTTCCCTGCTCAAGCAACTAATAGAAGTGCTTTCTTCAGAGATTGCTTAACGGAGTTCGTCAGCAATCTACTGCCGGTGGTGCACACTATACTCATCGGAGACCTTAACATAGTAGCAGACCCAAGAATCGGTAAGTCGTCAAAAGCAGGATCAGCGAAAGAAAATCAGAGACTCTTGGACATCATGTCATCATTCAACTTACAGGATGCTTTCAGGACCCTTCACCCATCCAAGCGTGAATACACCTTTACGCGCACTCGGTAAAGGAGCGTACCCACATCGACAGAGCACTGGTGTCGCAGTCGCTTCTGCATAAAGTCGGGGATGCTTACCACTCGTCTGTCCCTCACGGTATCTCGGACCACTGGTACGCGATTTTGCTGGACCTCTTGGTGGAAGCTGATAAGGGAAAAGGGCCTGGGTTGTGGCGGATGCATGCGTCCCAGGCTAAAAGTGGTCCTATGCATGGGAATCAGGAAACAATATGAAGTGGTCCTTGGAGAACAGGTTGATCAGCATCTTCACGACTTCTCGGAGCTACTAGTTAAACTGCGGTCAAGCATCAGGGCGTACTCGAGGGCGTTACTCAAGGAAAAGAAATACGAAAACAATAGCAAGGCTAGAGGAGACGGTGGCGCGACTGGAAAATGAGTTCATGAATAGGACTGGAGAGGCGGAGTGCTACGAACAGCTGACTAAGTATGGGTTGATGCACTCCGCGGTATGCACTAATAGCCACTAATAGCCCCTTACTCCTCCGTATAGCATCATCGCTCCAGGGGGGGCAGCGCTGCATTGCATACTCGCTGAGAATAGCAAGTGCCGTATTCGCATTGCATACTCGCTGTCATTTGCGACTACTTAATCCCCCTAGTTGCGTTTCATACCCATGAACCTACCCGCTGATACCAGTATGGTTGGCACAGAAAGTGAGGGTGGCAACATGGGGCGTGGCGGTGGTGCTTCTGAGGAGGCCGTAGCAGCTGGCGCAACGGACATTGAAGTGGGGTGGCGCTTGAACGAGTCGTTGTCCAAACGAAAGCTCAACCTCAGTTGTCATTTGACCCCGCCGTGGGCCATCTTACGCTGTGGGTTGGCAAGCCTTATGGGTGGCGGTTTGGTGCCTAGGGACAGTGATATGATACTCTTGTTCATCGAAATTGCGCCGACCCTTGTCGATCGTCTACTTGAGGCAGCAGCTGTAGCAGGTAAGAAACTATTTCCACTGTTTAAGTTAAATGGGGTTTCTCTGTGTGTGTTGATCTAAACATCATGTACAATCGGGGTGCAGGGGAGCGGGGAGACGGCATCAAGACAGCATTTACGGCGGGAATGGATGCTCACGCCGCAACAGTGCGTGTGAAAAAGGGAGGGCATGGATTGCCCACCGTCAGGGAGCTTCTCACCCTCCATGCAACACCAGTTCGTGGATTGGTCTATAGCTTTGTCATACTGCCAGAGAAGCAGAGTGCAGGCAACACCGTGTCGGGGTTCCAATGGGGTGGTGCCAGACGAGGTGCAGCCTATTAGGCCCTCATTTCATCAGGTATGATGCCCGTCCCATAACGGTTAGTGCTGACAGTTGGAGAGTTTCTTAAGCCTTGTCTAGGTGACATCTCTATCACCCTTATGTCATCTTACCTTGTCCATTATTCAACTCCATGTCAAGCATTCACTCATCTTCATATGTGCAGCGCCTGGGACATTTCAAAGCAGGGCGCGATCAAAATACGTTGGTCATGCACCTCGCGTTACGACACGTTTAGGCCTATTTCGAGAACATGGTCCACGTCCTGAGCACGGGAATCAGAGCCACGTCACCGTGGATGAGGATGTCGATGTGCAGCGTGTCGACTTAGTGTCGGGGTCGGAGGAGGCACCAGATCGGGTTCCGGCGCGAAGGTCAGCGAGTGCTGTGAGGACTGATAGTGGCGGGGGTGGAAGCAACAATGAGGGCCCTGAAGATGGAATTTCAGGCTTGGGGGTCATAGGGGTGCGTCAAGTATGCTTGGAATTTCAGGCCACGCTGCCTACTATGTGAGTTATGTTGGGTGGCTGCCGCGTGATGCAACTAACATTTTTCTGTTTGTGGATGTTTAAGTCAATACGCATGCACACGTGTATCATTGCTCCCCTAATACCCACCAGTGAGGATTTACGGCATCAGAATTTTGGATGTGGAGTCCCGCAAGGCTGGTCACATTCTCCGACCCTAATTGAATCTAGTAAGGGAAACATGTGCTACATGGACACTGTGTGGTTTATAACATTGATGCTGCACTTCTAACTTCAGTGCACCACTGGTAGCGCGTGTGGGGGGGCGATGCTCTTACAGTCAAGGAAGAGGTCGTTGGGGACGTTTGGCTTGTTGTGGAGGTGTCTACGGTGTAGACGCACCGAGGTCTGGTGGACTTGCAACCGCGGGCCAGATGACGGTCAGGAGTAAAAAAAAGGTCCAAAGATGCCTTGGCTCACTAGGACGGTGATGGGGGCTTATGTGATAAGTGGTTGCAGATATCAGACTTTAGAATCGGTGTCACGCAACATTGGGGTCCCGGTTCCAGCTGCGAGAACCTTCTATACGTACATGAAGAGCCCCCATGGTCTATGGGCGAGTATCTTGCGGCACAGTCAGTTGTCCATGGCGAAGGTTAGGAGAGACGTCATGTTGCGTGGTGATTCAAAAATATGGATAACTGCAGATGGAAGATGGTCGCAGGCGCGAGAGGGTGAATGGTGTACCGTTTCGTTCATGGATAGAGAGACACGAAAAGTCCTACACCGTGTTACAATCAACAAGTGGCAGCAAGGAATCTCATCGACGGCAATGGAGAAGGTGGCGTTTGAGCAAGGCATGCGCGAGTTGGCAGCTTTTGGGTTTAGAGTGGACGGAATGATAACTAATGGAGGAAGCAGTTTCAAGACAGCGCTAGAGTCATTGGGGTTGGAGCATCAGCAGGACGTTTGGCATATGGCGCGGTCTCTCATGAAAGCGTTGTTGAAGGAGTTGGTGGATAGTCGTAAAGACGACGCGATGCCTGTTGAGGATGCAAAGACCATAGAGGACCTATGGCACATAAAAAAAGTACTTTAATTTCGCTGGCTAGAGAAAAAGGGGAAGGAAGGGCGACTAACAGTGTCGTCCACCAAAGCTGCACTCGTAGAGGCGGTGTGCTCGAATCTTAACGGTATCGAATTTAGGACCGTTGATGCATCGGAGGCGTCATACAAGCACCCGGAGTTACGGCAAGTGGTTGTGCGGATGGGCGGGGCAGCTACGGGGCCAGACCATATTTCTGCTGCTATTCGTACGCTCGATGGCTCCACCCGAGCGGCGGAGGAGGGAGATACAGCAGTTGATGGAGAATGGGTCATTTTTTATGACGTGGGCGTGATGTTTGGGTGGGATCCGCACCCTGTGCACGGGATCCGTCCGTCATCCTACGCATCGTTGTTACTGGCACAGGAGGTTGCGGGGAGATCCGACTCAGCGGTAGCAACATTGGACTCCATGGATGACATGACAGAGGAAGGTGAGACGCTCAACCAAAATCTGGCCAAAACAAGCCGCATTGTTTCACCCTAAAACGCCTCAAGTTGGGTATGTGTTCGTCTTCTCGTTTTTCCCTGGCTGGGAGATCCCAAACGCTTTGAATGCTCTCTAACAATACCTATACCTACATATTTGCCCATTCACCCCCTGGATTGTGTGTAGAGGAGGCTGAGGCCACTCGTGCAGAGATTGAGGAGGTAAGAGCCCATGGCTGGTGGAATGACACGGCCGAGGGTGAAGGTCCTAGTGTTAATGTTCCAGAGGGTGGTAATATACGGACGGGTGACATGGCCATGGAGGGGGAGCGTCGTTGGGTGCGCAAGGCCAAAAGAACGCGGCGCAGCAGGCAGGGAGGGGCACCGAGTGCTGAAGAGGTAGATGACCTACCGGATGGTTTGGCAGATGTAGAAGAAGTGAGTTTTGCACAGCGTTTCAGCATCCATTTTCATCATGTGATGATTCGCTGTGCTACTCTTGCCAAAGAGGGCCGACCTATGACCCCGGAAGATGTCTCTGAAGAGCTTGCTCTATCGGCCGAGCATTGGGCCGGTAATCACACGGGATGTGCACGCCATGGCATCGTGCACGATGCGTCGCTGATTCATGGGGTCCAGAAAGCGCTGTGTATGAGAGCGGTGGCACCACACATGTAGCCTTTAGGAAGTGGTTACAAAAACACTGTAGCGTGTATGAGTGCGACCATTCGTGCTCGGGGCGTCCAGTTGGTTGAACGAATCATTTCACTCGGTTGTCTGCAAATATGCACCGAAGCGGATTCATTTTCGAGGGAGTATGGATGCACGGGTGGCGCTCTCGATTCTTCATTGGAACAACACCGTTGAGCGCCTAGTTATGAGACATATTGTCCAGATTCGCCGTGTAACCTGTGTGCGTCGTGGGAAGAAAGATCGCGTGCTGGGACCGATGAACTGGCAATGGACAAAAGACATTTTCACCGAGTGGCGACACACATCTTCCACGCCATCTTGAAGCCATCTTTTTTTTACAGGTAATATCATTGTTGTTTTTGTTTGTAGGAAGTCCATTACACAATGGTTATTGTGACTCATCCATGATTCAACGGTGCAAATGAGATTCAACATGTGTTGTGGGACATGCATTATGCATCCATTTTACGTGCAGGATCGGGCGACCCTTCATCACACAGACCGTTCATGATGCCATGGAAACAACGCCGAAGCCACCTACATAATTTATGAGGCCAGAGGTACAGTTTCTTTACCCCCCTCTGGCACTAACATATTTACATTCTGTGTTCTGCCTGCTGCTCACCAGATCATCGCTTGTACCTTATCCTTTGTGGACGCCCAATTGTGCCATCCATATTGTGGCCTACCCACCAGCCTACCCACCGTCCTACCCACCATCCTACCCACCATCCTACCCACCATCCTACCCACCAGCCTACCCACCAGCTTACCCACCGTCCTACCCACCATCCTACCCACCATCCTACCCACCATCCTACCCACCGGCCTACCCACCATCCTACCCACCGGCCTACCCACCAGCCTACCCACCGTCCTACCCACCAGCCAACCCACCATCCTACCCACCGTCCTACCCACCATCCTACCCACCATCCTACCCACCGGCCTACCCACCATCCTACCCACCGTCCTACCCACCGTCCTACCCACCAGCCTACCCACCATCCTACCCACCGTCCTACCCACCATCCTACCCACCATCCTACCCACCAGCCTACCCACCAGCCTACCCACCATCCTACCCACCATCCTACCCACCAGCCTACCCACCGGCCTACCCACCGGCCTACCCACCAGCCTACCCACCATCCTACCCACCATCCTACCCAACATCCTACCCACCGGCCTACCCACCAGCCTACCCATCGCCTACCCACCATCCTACCCACCATCCTACCCACCATCCTACCCACCATCCTACCCACCGTCCTACCCACCGTCCTACCCACCAGCCTACCCACCATCCTACCCACCGTCCTACCCACCATCCTACCCACCAGCCTACCCACCAGACTACCCACCATCCTACGCACCATCCTACCCACCATCCTACCCACCATCCTACCCACCATCCTACCCACCGGCCTACCCACCATCCTACCCACCAGCCTACCCACCAGCCTACCCACCAGCCTACCCACCAGCCTACCCACAGTCCTACCCACCATCCTACCCACCATCCTACCCACCGTCCTACCCACCAGCCTACCCACCGTCCTACCCACCGTCCTACCCACCGTCCTACCCACCAGCCTACCCACTGGCCTACCCACTGGCCTACCCACCGGCCTACCCACCAGCCTACCCACCGGCCTACCCACTGGCCTACCCACCGGCCTACCCACCAGCCTACCCACCATCCTACCCACCATTCTACCTACCCACCGGCCTACCCACCAGCCTACCCACCGGCCTACCCACCATCCTACCCACCATCCTACCCACCATCCTACCCACCGTCCTACCCACCATCCTACCCACCGTCCTACCCACCAGCCTACCCACCATCCTACCCACCGTCCTACCCACCATCCTACCCACCAGCCTACCCACCAGCCTACCCACCAGACTACCCACCATCCTACCCACCATCCTACCCACCATCCTACCCACCGGCCTACCCACCATCCTACCCACCATCCTACCCACCAGCCTACCCACCAGCCTACCCACCAGCCTACCCACGGTCCTACCCACCATCCTACCCACCAGCCTACCCACCTTCCTACCCACCGTCCTACCCACCATCCTACCCACCATCCTACCCACCAGCCTACCCACCATCGTACCCCGGGTGCCTCACTCACACACTTGCTGTCACTCCCCGGATTTTGGAACTCTATATAGTGGGTAGCATTCTTCAACGTCTCATGTGGCTTCTGAACGGGCCTAGTGTTTCTGCCAGCCATTATCATGTCTCCCGTATTTTATCCGCACTGTTGATTTTTTGTGTTCCTGCAAAACAGGCACGCCCCTCACCCTCATGTGGCCCAGAGCTCCGAACAGCCCGGCGTCAACCATCACTAATCATGCGTGCAGCCTGCCCATTTGGTACTCTTGGATCATGATGCATGTTGCAAAGCGTCAAATCCTGTCTAATGGCCTGATACACACCCAATAATGGATGTTATACAACAAGCATACAGTTATTTCAGCATGAACAAGGTCATTAGCTGTCACCATCACCAACCGTCAATCTCATAGTCTATGACATCCGGTATCTCCCACTGAGTAACGAAGTGCTCAACGTCCCCAGGTTCACAATGCTCGTAACGGCCATCACCACTTTCTGGATATAATGAGCTAATCACAACATATATCAGCCAGGGCAATTGGACCTGTGCAAAAGGGTGGTCACCGAGCAAGCGGGAGTATGTGACATAGCAGCGGAAACGATGATTCTTGGGCAGCAACGGTAGACACGTGCAACTGTTGAGGGTATGGCCTCCACAACAGACTCTCATAATATTCTCAGCAGTGGCCCTCCCATGCTGTAACTCACTCTCGGACCTCAACCCAAGTCACTCAGCACCCCACTGCTCAAGCACCGTAGCCTGCTTTGGATACTTATTCTCAAATGCGGGCAACGTCCAACACCACTCTGGGTGATGTACTTCAGGTGGTTGACCTGTGCGCCTGCGCACACGTCGGGCCATGACTGGTGGAGGGTGAGAATTGAGGTGGGGAGCAGGGAAGATTGAGGTGGGGAGCAGGGGGGATGGAGGTGGGGCGCAAGGGGGATTGAGGTGGGGAGCAGGGGGGATTGCAGTGGGGAGCTTGGGGGATTGAGGTGGGGAGCATGGGGGATTGAGGTGGGGTGCATGGGGGATTGAGGTGGGGAGCATGGGGGATTGAGGTGGGGAGCAAGGGGGAATGAGGTGGGGAGCAGGGGGGATAGAGGTGCGGAACAGGAGGGAATGAGACGGGGAGCAGGGGGGATTGAGGCGGGGAGCAGGGGGGAATGAGGCGGGGGGCAGGGGAAATCAACGTGGGGAGCAGGGGGGAATGAGGCGGGCAGCAGGGGGGGATGAGGTGCACAGCAAGGGGGATTGAGGTGGGGAGCATGGGGGATTGAGGTGGGGAGCAAAGGGGAATGAGGTGGGGAGCAGGGGGGATTGAGGTGGGGAGCAAGGGGGATTGAGGTGGGGAGCAGGGGGGATTGAGGTGGGGAGCAGGGGGTATTGAGGTGGGGAGCATGGGGGATTGAGGTGGGGAGCAGGGGGGATTGAGGTGGGGAGCAGGGGGGATTGAGGTGGAGAGCAAGGGGGATTGAGGTGGGGAGCAAGGGGGATTGAGGTGGGGAGCAGGGGGGATTGCAGTGGGGAGCTTGGGGGATTGAGGTGGGGAGCATGGGGGATTGAGGTGGGGAGCAGGGGGGATTGCAGTGGGGAGCTTGGGGGATTGAGGTGGGGAGCATGGGGGATTGAGGTGGGGAGCATGGGGGATTGAGGTGGGGTGCATGGGGGATTGAGGTGGGGAGCATGGGGGATTGAGTTGGGGAGCAAGGGGGAATGAGGTGGGGAGCAGGGGGGATTGAGGTGCGGAACAGGAGGGAATGAGACGTGGAGCAGGGGGGATTGAGGCGGGGAGCAGGGGGGAATGAGGCGGGGGGGCAGGGGAAATCAACGTGGGGAGCAGGGGGGAATGAGGCGGGCAGCAGGGGGGGATGAGGTGCAGAGCAGGGGGGATTGAGGTGGGGAGCATGGGGGATTGAGGTGGGTTGCATGGGGGATTGAGGTGGGGAGCATGGGGGATTGAGGTGGGGAGCAAAGGGGAATGAGGTGGGGAGCAGGGGGGATTGAGGTGCGGAACAGGAGGGAATGAGACGTGGAGCAGGGGGGATTGAGGCGGGGAGCAGGGGGGAATGAGGCGGGGGGCAGGGGAAATCAACGTGGGGAGCAGGGGGGAATGAGGCGGGCAGCAGGGGGGGATGAGGTGCAGAGCAGGGGGGATTGAGGTGGGAAGCATGGGGGATTGAGGTGGGGAGCATGGGGGATTGAGGTGGGGGGCATGGGGGATTGAGGTGGGGAGCAAAGGGGAATGAGTTGGGGAGCAGGGGGGATTGAGGTGGGGAGCAAGGGGGATTGAGGTGGGGAGCAGGGGGGATTGAGGTGGGGAGCATGGGGGATTGAGGTGGGGAACAGGAGGGAATGAGACGGGGAGCAGGGGGGATGGAAGGTGGGGAACTGGGGGAAGCAAGGCGGGGATTACGAGGAAGGGAGGGGAGAATATGGGATTAGCAAGGTGTGGAGCAGTGGAAAGGGAGGAAGGAACAACGGGCAAGCAAAGAGTAGAGCAGTGTAAGGACGCTTTTGGGTTTCTGGGGAATGGAGGGGTGAATAAGGAAGCAAAGTGGGGAGCAGGGGAACGGAGAGGGAGGCTAAGGTGGAAGCAAAGTGGGGAACAAGGAAGACGCAAAGGGGGGAAGATGAACAAGGGGGACCATGGGGAGCTCAAGAGAGAACAGCGGGACGCAAGCTGGGGAGCAGGGGAAAGGGAGGGCGGAACAAGTTGGAAGCAATGTGGGAGAGCAGGTGGCAATCATCGTGAAACAAGGCTACGGCGCTGCCACGTTAGGCGCGGCTGGCCTGGCCGGCCTAGCGACCAAGGAGAGGCGCCGTAGCTAGAATAAAGAAGAACGTTGCAGCGGAAGGGAGAGAAGCTAGGCTAGTGAGAGAAACCCAGCTCTGGAGACGTAGAAGAGAGATCAAGAAGAAGGATCTGAAATTAGATTAGCAAGAGATGATAATACAAGATTCAGAGATGGATATTTATGCTAGGAAGAAAGGATGGCGACTTGGGAGGAAAACCGCGTCGCCACTTAATCTAGTATGGCATCTTGGCATTGCGCCTTGATGCCATGCCTTGCTGTACTAAACTTCCTGACAGGGATACAGGAGCGTGCTCTACGCTAGCAGGTGGTGCTGTTCGTGGCTAGCTAGGCAACGTCCTGTTCGGGAATTCCCATGCATCTCGCATGGTGAATTCCGTCCTGTTACACATCGGGAAGCGAGGGGATAATGAGGTGAAGCAAGGCGGGGAACACATCGGAAAAAATGGGGTCTTCAGCACCTACGGGAAACCGGCGCTGAAGCTGCTTTGACGTACCCTATCCGGCACATGCCTCAAAGAGGGTGGATGAATTGCTTTGCCGTAGGTTTGAGTTTGACCCCTTTCTGACGAAAATAGCTGCGACAAATCGCGGCCGCACATCTCAAAAACAGCCAAAGCAACGTTTCCGTAGCTTCTGAGCTCGACTACCACGTGTTTCACGCACACTAGCTGAATGTGAAATTCACGCTCAAAACTGATTGGCGTATTCGGATCCGTAACATCCAGGACGCACATCGGTGCCCTAGATATCAGACTTTTTACGCTGATTCAGCGTCCATTCGGACTTTTTTTTTGTACCTGGTCTGAACTGTAAGTTTTTTTTTATGTACCTTCTCTGATTTTTCAGAGTTTTTTTTATTGTAACCGCTGAAATTTCAGCCAATTTCAGCCAATTTTCAGCCAACTGTAAGTCTCAGACTTGTGTCGGGGGTGCACTCTGCGAGCTTATCGAAACGAAGTTTCCTGGAAGTTTCGTTTCGATATGCCCACTTCCGAGATGGCAGTGGAGTGCCAGGACGTGAGCAACGCACGCTTCAACAGCTGGGACATCCGAATACACTCGTTCGTCGAGAATATCTCCAAGTTACACTAAGAAAATGGTTGCGTGATTACGAGATTTCTAAGACAAAATCTCGTCACATGTAAGTTATCGCTAATGTATTTTTAAGAATTGGCGATTTTGATGCTGATTCTTTGTAAAAAAATCTGCAGCACGCACTGCTGTGAAATTGCGAAGCTCCTGATTCGTAGTGAAAGTTTCGTGCGGCACTGCCAGATGCTCACACACGCCACGCCAACCAACAGTTTCTGCCTGCTGCCAGCTCAGCTGCGTGGCACTTGGCCCACCTGGCACTGTACGTGACAACAACCAGATCGGGTGAATGATCACATCGCTTGAAACGCAAATCCAAAATTGACAAAATCGGCACACAGGCGAGAAAATGGGTACAGAACGGTAATCACACACACGACGAAACGAAATCTAATCAGCAGAAACAACCCATGCGCTGCACGTGACAAAACAACCGAGGCGATGCACGAGCACGTTGCCTGATGCAAACCCGCCGACCCTGACTGGTTCGTACCGCACAGTTAAGTTGGTATGCTGTAATCAGCTTCAATGCTATTATAAATATGCTTTTACGATACTGCATCATCATCTTAAAATTTGAGGGTAACTCTGACAGTTCAGACAAAAAAAGTTGTGCTTGTCTGAATTTTCAGACTAAAATTTGAGGCACCTCTGACAGACAGAGTTCCAGGAGGGGTGTACTCTGAGGCGTCAGACTACCTCAAAACGAATCTAGGGGCCTGCCGCACATCTCAAAAATGTGAAAGCTGCTTCACTGTAACTTTGAATGTGTTTCATCAGTTCGGTACTACGTGGCTTGCCCATATTTGTTGTGCTATCATGTTGCAAACAGGGTTTAGGGTTTAGGGTTTAGGGTTGTATATTACCGATAAAAGCAGTATTGATTCGGCCAATAAACCAATTTCAGAATTTCGAGACGCGATGAATATAGCGACATTTCGACAGCACAGGTTACGCTAGAGAAATGAACGGGGTAACATGTAACCGACACTCTGTTACCAGCAATGACATAATAACCTGTCAGATTTATATGACATAGCTACTGTAGGCTAGAGTGGGGTAGCACATATGGGGTACAGTTTTCTAGGGTTTGCTTCTTGTACCCAACTTTCACTTAGTCATTCTCATTCCTGTTTTTCTTGATTCACATAACCTGCTTTGGTTACTTTGTCTATTGTGTGGAAATTCAACTGTGTATATAATTATTTGCACATCACTGTAGCAATTTTAACGAAACAGGTTACAGATTCTCAACAGCCAATGATTTTCGCTTCTCTTAATATTATATTTTATATTGAGGTCCAAAAGCTCTGTAGCTTTTGTTAATATAAAGCATTTATATTATTAACCGACATAAAAAAAGAGGCAACATGTAATAACAAATTGCACTTTCCAGACTGAACTCTAGATGTACGAAAAGTCTCAATTAAGACCATGCAACTACGATAAACTCAATTATAGCCACCCAGTTTCAACTAGCCGGATTCAACGGCTCCTGCAAAACACAACAAGTGCTGGCATTAAAACAAACATACAAAAAAAAAAGGTTAGACCCTTCGGCCAGAATATACAAAACCGCTGACCACCTGGGGCAACCCCACCCCACGCTTTGATAATACAACAGTTCTCATCGTCGGTCGTTTTGCACAGAGTATAAGCGACCTGCGAACAACATCCAAGAGACAAATAGAAGAAACGAGTTTAATATTGGTGGTTTTCAACTGGTTAAAGTGGATAGCGTGAACGGGTTCCTACCGGAGAGACGAGCAGAGAAGGAAGCGGCTGAGGGCTGACCGCACCACGACGCCTAGCAGCTGAGTATGCGGGCCTTCCCTCGGGTTTGCGAACGACCTATGCACAAGCAAAAACAAAAACGGAGTTAAAAGGTTGGAACGGGGAGAAAATTAAGTGACAATCATCTGCAAACTGGCGAGACGAAGACCTAGCTATGCATCACACTGAAGGATTGAGAAAATAAAAAAACGCAACAGACTGAAGCATTGAAAAAAAATAGAGGATGAAAACAACCAACTAAAAGTCGAAAACATGCTAAAGGAAGTGCAGAAGCAGCTGGAGTCGACGGAACGAGATACGAGCTGAGAGAAGTAAGGGGTGCGGGTGGGTTGAAAGATGATGAAGCAGACACGTCCTACGAGCAGTAACAGATCTGGGAGAGAATAGATTGAAAAACATGATGCCTAGCGAAATGGCACAGGAATGAATGAGTTACGAGTCCTGGAATGAGAAATGAGGGAGGGAGGGAGGTGTTAGTCTTAAAACGCACTAGCCTGGCCACTAATCGCCTTTCTAACGCTGCCAGTGCTCTCCTCGGGGTCACCTCCAAGGGTCCTCGGGTGCCTGACCAACGTCAGCCCCTATCCAAGGGTCCGAGTATGTAGAGAGAGACTTGCAACACTAGCTTGGTTGTCGCAGCAGGTGTTCCGTCTAGGCATTGTCAAAACTTCTTAATGCAGGCATCATTGATTCAGCAGGCACGGGAGGAAGAAATCCACTAAAGTTACCAACACTTTCCCCGAAAACCGCCAAACCCGCTTCCATAGTCACTCCTCGATGGTCCGTTGTTCCAGCTTCCATAGGTACGTGTATTATCTCTCCTTCCCCTGAAATCGGCATTCTGCCTCCCGTACCCTTCTCCGGTCTCTTGAAACCTGGCCATATTGCCTTGCTGTCTATTACCCTCCCTTTCTCCTCGGCTTCGTCTGTCCCTCCAACTGCTTCCTTGTATGCCGAAACCACCATTGCCGTCATCAACGTTATTCATCTGACGCCTTCGAAAGTCCTCTTCCAAAATCTTACTCCTCACCCATTCGTGAGTCCACAGTCCTTGGTTTTGTGGGAGGCTCAAGCCACTGGTGAATTGCAGCCATGATTCGGGTAGTAGCGACAGCATCTTCAAACACTTTGCCTGTTCAGGATACACTAATCCGGCCATTGTCAGCTTTGCATACGTGTCCCGCATCTTGTCAAGGACAGATTGTAGCGGCTCTCCTTCACTCACTCGCAGTGAAGACAACTCCCGCTCCAACATCAGTGTAGCTGTAACCGACGTTGGCGCATGCAAATTCTTGAGCACGGTCCACGCCTTCGGCCCACAATCCGCTTCCTCCAGCAGATGCATGATGTGTGCTCGTTGATTCAGCTCCAAACTTTGCGACAAGAGGTAATAACCCACGGACGCCTTCTCGTCCCATTCTTCCTGCATAGAAGGGTCACTTGGCCTTTCTTCCTTCCCAATCATCACGTTGAGCAGTCCCACTTGCCTGAAGTACAACTGCATCTTCCATGCCCAATCGTCATATCCCGTGCCGTTGAACTTCTCAACCGTGAAGTTCCTCAAGACCTCCTTTAGCAGGGGTCCCTGGCTGGTTTGTGCCATCCTAGGCATTGAACCCCCAGTTACTTGGCCTCCGCTGCTTCCTTGGCTCGAGGACCCTTCAGCTCCATTCTTACCCATGGCGTTCTAATGGCACAACGCAGTAACCAGAGCTCTGATACCACTTGTTAGTCTTAAAACGCACTAGCCTGGCCACTAATCGCCTTTCTAACGCTGCCAGTGCTCTCCACGGGGTCACCTCCAAGGGTCCTCGGGTGCCTGACCAACGTCAGCCCCTATCCAAGGGTCCGAGTATGTAGAGAGAGACTTGCAACACTAGCTTGGTTGTCACAGCAGGTGTTCCGTCTAGGCGTTGTCAAAACTTCTTAATGCAGGCAGCATTGATTCAGCAGGCACGGGAGGAAGAAATCCACTAAAGTTATGTTTTAGAACAACAAGAACACACTGTTATGTACTAGCTCTATTGCTTTCTATTCTACCTTACTCTATTCGTCAAGTTTGGAGTCTCGTTTCTCGCAACGCGATCACTTTCACGTTTCCCTCCCTGTTTTACTTTGTAACTCGGCGGGCTCCCGATTCGTCGCTGAAGCAATTCAAAAGTCGAGCGCGAATAACTCCAACGGTGCCGATTCGAACTTTACTCTTCCCGCCAACTGCAAACGGTTGCGATAAAGACCGTTCAAATTCTGCACGAGGGGAAATGTCAGTGGCGATCAGCAGAGCTTTCGATCACCCAACTGCTGCTCGCCACGTGCGTCACGTTCCGAACGCACTGTTGATCCGAACTGTCAGAGCTGTTCAAAACGTGAGTAACATAACTCACTCGAACATCTCGCCGATCTCGCCACCTGCGCTGAAAAACGATTCGTGAGCATATGACGCTCGCGATACATAACACGCTAATGAACACGCTAATGAACGCGCTAATGAACGCGCTAAAGAACACGCTATGAACACGCTAATGAACACGATGCGCGAGTAGGAACCAATCCTGCTCCTCGAACAGTGGAGATGCGAGCAGCTACACTCTCGAACTCATGAGCAACTGTCATTTCGAACAG